TGTGTGTGTGTGTGTGTAGTGTGTGTGTAGTGTGTGTATGTTTTCATCCCTGAATCACATACATCATGAATGACTGTGAATTTTGTAAGGCTCTCATCGTTTATTTCTTTACAAGGTATTAGTAACAGTTTTAACCTGCCTCACAGGAATGTCTTAAGAACTGATTTACATTTATAAAGCACATGGAAATCCTTGGATTTGAGGTGCTGTGGAAGTGAACACATTATTATTATAATCAACTTGAGGCAGAGAATACAGAGAACTGGGATTGCTTGATATTTACAATAAAATAGGACTCTTTGTTGGGAATATTACCTCTCCAGAAATATATATTATGAGATACAGTCTGTTTCCCTAGAAAATAGTTTTTGAAATCAGGCCAGACCTCTGCACTTGTTAGATTTGCTTCATCTTTGGATTTATCTACCTCAGGGCAACACATTATATGGCCCGCTCTGAAACACTTGAGGTGCCCTCAAGGTATGTATAAGCTTAGAAGAAAAGAAAGGTAATTTTCTATTTTTATGAAGTAACTAAATGAAATGTCATCCCTTTACACTAAATCATGTAACGCCAGCTTTCTGGATATGTAAGGTTAGAAATCAGAATTAGTTCCATAGGTTTTAGTTTTTATCACAGCCACATTTTAGGGGAAGATGTCTACATCTTTGGCATTTTTTCAGCTGTCTGACAGTGGCACCTGAAAGCCGCACATCCCTTTCCAGCAACACTTGGAGTGTTTCTCCTACTCACCAGTAGTGTTTGGATGCTTTAACACTGCGGATCGCCCTATTCGCTGCGGGGGAGCATTGCACTCAGATAAACCCACTTGCTCTTCCTTGACCAATCCTGCCTGCATTTTAGTACTCATGTCCTTGTCCTGAGGACGGCACAAGTCATCCCCCAGTTGGGTCTCCTCTATGCCCCACGCAGATTTCCATCAGAATACTGCATTGTTCTCATATTTGACCCTTTAGCCTCTTCCTCCTGTATCATAAGCTCCTTTCAGTAAAGTACTGTGGATTGCATTTCTATACCTGTGATCCCAATGCAGTCATCTATATTTACCCAATAAAAAATTTACAGTGGCATCCAAAACCTTCTCTTCTTCCAAGCCTTCTATGGCTCACAGACTGAAAGTTTTGACCAGTATTGCTTTGAAGTGTCTATTTTGAATAGTGGGTTCTAAATATGTTAAAATATAATGGGTTTTTAAGCTTGATTTTCCCAATGTTGACCTATAAATATGTTTAGTTTTCTTGTTTCTTTCATAATCAGCTCAGAATCACCTTAGAATCTTTAGGATAAAATTGCTGCTTTCTACACCAGCTGTTAGCTTTCCTTCCTTGGGTATAATTCAGAAGAAAGCAGAGGGCAGAGTCCAGGTGAAACTAATTTAGGTATTAGCTAGAGGGAACTACTTGTAGATCAATTTTACTCTGACAGATAAATTTGCCTTTGAGATCCAATTATATACAATATTAAGACTAGCATGAATCACCTATCACACTTGGAAACAGCTGCTAATTAAAGCACAGAGATACTAGAACATTCAGAGAACACATTGAAATAGAGTTTTTAAGGGCTCAAAACAAAAAAGAAAAATTATATTCATTTTTTAAAGATAAATTCCGTTGGTCACATTTCTAGAAAATCATTTCTGGGTTCAATGAGTCACAGCAAAATCCATTTTTTACAATTTTTGTTTTCATTTGACATTTTTAAATTTCTAACCTTCTATGCCATAATAAGAGTGAAATATTCTAACCAACAGCTCACAGAAGTGATATCTTGCTACCACAAAGAGACTGCAGTACAGGAGCTAAACGCAAAGGAAAGAGAAGGTCTGGTTTAAAACCCCAGCTGTGCCACTAGTCAGTTGTATAATTTGAGGTAAGTTCCTTAAATAACCTAACTCAGTGGTTCTCTGTAAAAATAATAATAATAATAATAAATCCCTTCAGCACTGTGATGAGGACTAAGTGAGTTAATGTCTGCAAAACACTCACCTATGTATTCTGAGGAGAGCACAGGCGCAGACACAACAAAGACACACACAAGGTCACTTAGGTTTTGTTTTTTCTTTGTCATTGAGCTCTTTGAAAAGAAATTAGAACTTTTACTGTATAAGGAGTGAACAAAATACAGAGTGGAATGCTTTAAAGAAATATTACAGTACAAGATACATTGCTATTAGTCCTTCCCAACATATTGCCCCTCACTTTGAACTAACTTATTCTGCCATTTTTGCCACTATCTGGAGCAGTTCTGAAAGTCTCTTCCCATGAGCATCTTTATGAACGCGATTAAAAAAAATATGGTGATCGCTGCTACCAAGTGTCACCCAACAGATAAGGAAGTAGAAGCATTCAGCATGTTACTCACTAGATCTAGCACAGTGCAGATTCTGGCTCTTCCCCAAAGTCAAAATGACCATGAATGGTCAACATTTTAAATTGATTCAGGACATCAAGTCATCAGCTAAAGACACTCATGAAAGAGGATTTCCAGAACTGCTTCAGAAGGTGCCAAGAACAATGAAGTAAGTGTGTTCAAAATGAGGGTGTATGTCTTGAGGGGGAAGAATGGCAATGTATTTCCACTGTAATACATTTATTTAAATTCACTGTCATTTTTTATCATGCTTTATATTGTGCATGCTGCTTCTTGATTAATTACTACTCCTCACTCTTTGCGTGGACATATTTGTAAATCATTGATTTACTATGGCATTTAAAATCACATGATAGTCATGGTCTATTTTTTTGTAAAAACAATAAAAATGTAAGGCTATAGAATAATATATAAATATATCTAGGGTGGATGACAACCACCTCACTCACACACCTGGTGATCAGGGCCATGCATGCCATACATATGTGTGTGTGTGTGTATGTGTGTGTGCGTGCGTGTGCATTTGTGTTCACAAACAAGCATGGAGGCTTTCTAGGTATCTGTCACTTATTTCTGCACTGGGATTTCAAAAATAAATAAGGCATAATTCCTTCCTTGATAATCTGTATTTTGTGATAAACACACAGAGCTCTTTATTTCTCATTTTCAAATTATACTAATCATTTGATGGATTCTCAGTTGAATGTGTGTTTGTTCCTCTATGCTTTCTAATTTAAAAATGTAACTAATTTAACAGATTTCCTCCTGAAGCGTCCCAAGAACACAGGCCCCCGGTGCTTACTGTGCATCTTTTTAGACCAGAAGTTTCAGGGAAACATCTATGTGAGGTGATGAAAGAAGAAACCGCTGCCTTCGTGGAAATGTTCACGTTTCCATGTAAATGATTTAAATGAGATAGTCCACACAGTTTGTAGTAATTTTAGGGTTAGAGGTCAGTGAGAGGGAGAAATATAATTTTTCTGGGGAAAACATCGAAGGAAATGTCAATATTATTGTATACCTCGTGATAAATACGCTTGAATGAAATTATGTACACAAGCTTAAAAAGAACTACATAAAACTTGTGAAATGTTTTACAATTCAATATCTTCTTCAATGTTGACTGAAGCCTTCAGAATTATTGGCTTAAAACAATCATCAAGTTTGAACTTGTATTTTACCACCCAAATTAGAAATCCTGAGATGCCTTGAAATGCATTTGATTCAGGTGGCTAAACCTTCATTAAAAATGGAATCCCAACTGGAAGTTGGAATTTATGTTGCTTTTCATTATGGAAAATGAACCTTATTTCGGTCAGGACATTATAAAGCATGGTTCTTTTTGTCTTTTTTTAATCCATTTTTTACTAGTACATGTTTGTGATATATAAGGAGTACATTCATCGTGGGGAGTTGATACATATACATATCACATCTTAATCCTTTTTACTTCCTCTTGCCTGCCCTCCTTCCCCTCTCTTTCCATCCCTAGGGTCTCTTCCCCATCTACATAATATCTACTATGTAAAGCATCGTTCTTAAACACTGGTGAAAAGCTTTATCACAGATGATTTTTTTTTTCTTTTTGTGGATGCCTTTGAGTCTGCTCAAAGGAGGTCGTTGTACAAAATTGTGCTATTATGCTTCATGGACTCTCTTTAAAGAGAAAAGCTGAAGAAATACATATATAAACCTACAGAAGAAATCTCTTAACTTTTTGTTTGTAGGTGATTTTAATTAGTTTAATTCCATTTTTGTTTTGATGTATGTGTCCACATCTGTGTTATTAAAAAGGTTTAAATTAAACCCCTAAGTCTCTTATTGCTTCTTTCTTGTTCTGGTGTAGCTTCTCTTTCATCTTCCATCTTCCTTAAAATATCAACATGAATATCGAGAGATGTTCCCGTAAGATGCAGCAGAACTAATCACTTATCTGGCGCTCACCAAGTCACATGTGTAAAAGGCCCTGTAGTGCTGTGAGCTCAGCTTTAGGGTTGGGGTTGGAGGCCATGAAAAGGGAGAAGGCAGATTCCATACGTGTCTGAGATTCTCAGAAACCAAGGCAAACTAAACTGGGCAGTGGTTCCCAAGGCCCAAGAGTGAAAGGGCGATGCTTCCCAGCATCTACCAACTGTCTGTGAGCCTCTCTGCCAGTCCCAGGGCGAATTTTCCCCAGGATAAATGCATGATACTGGGGCCAAGATGGCAATAAGAGAGCATGGTTGTCACAGAATCGGTCCCAATAGAAAGTGGCTACCATTTTATTTTTTTTTAATTATAGTACTATTATGGATGATTCACGGTCTTTAAAACAATTGCATAATAGTTCATATAATGGATCACTATTTTGTTTTTTGTTGTTTTTTTAAAAATAATTTGGGGAGTACTTTTATTTTCCTTGAAATGAATAAAGCTGAAATAAACCTATATTTCTTTTACATACACACACACACACATACAAACCTTTCTACCCAAATTATGACATAACATTTTTACAGCTATATTTTAGGGATAAACAAAAGTTTTAAAGGCAATACTCCTTCCATGAGTAGCCCATTCAGACAAGCACCCAAAAACAGACCAAAAAAAAAAAAAAAAAAGAATACCTTTCGCCCTTTATGGAACAGCTTGTGGACATAGCATGAAGATAACTAGTTCATATATGGTCTACGTCTTCCACATGTGAATGGGAAGCCATACCTAGAAAAACATGCCAAAAAGGAACATGAGTATTTTTAAGGCTACCTGGTTGCTTGAGCTTTCTACCACAATGTATGAAACAAAACACACAAGAAATTAAGTAAAAAGGACAATAGACTTCCAACCGTGAGTATTTATTTGAAACTAGCAAGAGTCTGGAAAAAAAGAAAAAGTGGATGAATCTGCATCCAAAGCCGACAGTCAATGGTGATTTGCAGAAAAGTGGGAGAAATGAGGTTTAATGTTACATAGCCTAGTCTATTTAGGTTAACAGATGTTTCTTAGAATGTTTATTTAAATTGGAGGAAAATCTATATAATCTATATAATACCATATTGTCCATTTTCCTAATCCATTAACTTTGATCAAATCATGACCTTATTGAATTTATTCTGGGGGCAATGGATAAACACATTGCCTTTCATAAACATTAACTGAGCAGTTGACAAGAGATTACTATGTTTCCTTGAGTTTGGTTTCCACAGTTGGGATTAATGAGGTTATCAGTATCGGGATTAGCAATACTAGTCAGGCAGTAATCCTAGATTTGCACAGCTTTTGGTACATTTTGCTGGATTGTTTTTGCAGAAAGACAAGAAAGAAATGGAGAGTCACAAAGGGAACTCCCATCACCATCACTCACGTGTGTTGTTTCTTTCCAAGTCCCATTGACCAGGACTGGTTGCATAATTTTGTGAATCTGCAAAGAGATTGAAAAGTGTGATATTCTTTAAGGCAGAAAAAAGGAGGAAAAAACGGAATTTGATGAACACAGACTTTTTGTCAAGATATACTTTATAAATTACATATAAATTAGGTCAATTTATAATATTACCAGAAATGCAAGAGACAAGTAATTTCCCTTCACCTTCAAATTTTTGACTTTGTCTTTTATATTTTTCTGTATTTAAACGTAAGTACAAGGGCCAGAGATTTAGCTCAGCAGCACCATGCCTGCCTTGCAAGCACAAGGTCCTGAATTTGCTCCTTGGTAAATAAATAAATAAATGTACAAATATGCATTTTAACGAACAATTAAGAAGTGCTATTCTCACCTCGATGCAGCAAAAAAAAAAAAAAGAACTTCTAATTTCAAATTGTATCACATTGAATTTTTCAATACTGAGAACCCTGCTATCAAAGACAGGTCTAATTCATGCCTGTTTAACTTGTCTGGGCTATCCAAGAAATTTTAGGCCCTTTCCCAGCTCAGTAGTTGTTCTGTGCTTAGAGAACATAAAGTTGCTTTATTTTAAAAAATCACTATCATGTGGAATTTTTAGTCATATTAAGTTACCACTCTGTGTCAAAGATAAATATTTGTTGCTATCTGACTGGTTTTATTACATAGAGTTTTGCTCTCCTTAAAAAAAGGAGGTGACTGCAACGTTTTTGCCTACAGCAAAATCCCCAATAACAGTGAGCCTGCTATCTCTGAAAACACCAAATAAAGCTGAGAAAAACAAACGTGTGCCCATTAAATTCCATTTTCTTTTTTCTTGGCTTATAAAACATTGTATTTTTCGATCTCTTTGGGGATCAGCAGCCATGTGACTAGTCCTGGCCAATGACATTTGGAAAGGAACAATAGACATGAGCTATGGTAGTGGGAATAACCTTTGTTTTTCTCTACTTTTTTATTTTCTTCCACTATCAAAGCCCAAAGGCTTCCATTGAATTGGTAGAGCCTCTATTAGACTGGTCTCTGAGATACCATGTAGAGAAGGCAGCCATCTTTCCCCCCATTCTGCCTGGACTTGAACATGTGAGCAAGAAATAAACCTTGGAGGTATCGAGGGATTGTGATTGCTTTGCTTTGGCAGCATGACCTTCCCTGGCCAGCTCTTTAGGCGTGGTTACAACACCACTAATGCCAGATCTGTTCGCCCTGCCAAAGAGCATGCAGAGGTAGAACAAGGCTGTCTAGAGAGCCAGGCGAGGGGAGTGTAGACTTGCCAGGGACACCCACGCCCAAGGAGGAACAGTGTCTGTGCATTTTATAAGCACCAAATGCAAGTAGAGATGTTAAAATGGATATAGAAGAAAAGAATCCTCAGAACAACAGTTTAGATTTATAATAACAAACTTCAGAAAACTCATAAAAGCCCATCTGTTCTGTGAAGCATTCCAACAAAAATGACCACTTGGCGCTTGCTGTTCTGTGCCACCGCTTAGATCGTATTTGTGTGTGTGCCTCACATATCCCCAAGTGAGCCTCAAATCCAGGGCCCTGCAGGGCAGGGGATTTTATTGTGTTTTCTGCGTGGCAGTCCACCTAAGATAAATGAACACAGGGGAGAGAGAGAAACTAGAATAAAAAACTATCCTCTTTTGCTGATGTGTAGTGGAATTTCAAGTTCACAAACAAATCAGAATCATGAGTGTGTGTTTTCTTTGTCTGACTGAATCACCAATTCATGGCACTTCCTTACATCTGTAAAGAAATGCTCTCTGACAGCAGACATGGGGAAACAGAAATGACCATATACTGACTTCACTCCCTTCTATCAACCTAGAGGCTACGTATGGTTAATGTGGAAAAAGTTGTTGTAAGAAGGATGTTGACTGAGACTGGATTTGTTACCTAGAAAGTAAAGATGAAGGAAATTTAGGGCCACCTGCCATATTTCCAGATCTTGCTAAGGCCCTGCACATAAATTACTTCACTCAGTCCTTCCAAAACCCTCATTTTTTCTCATTTATGATGTGGACGATAACAATATCTTTGACAATTAAATGAGGTTTGGGATGTGAAAATTCTTTGCAAATTATACAGGAGTGCCGCAAGAATACAAATTATTATCTTCAAAAAGTTGCCTATTTCCAATAGATTAGCTGTTTTCTCTTGGGAACAAGAAAGGCATGAATTGCCTGGCAGTGATTAGTATGTGATAATTACAGGTAAAAAATATTGCTTTTCAAATGTTAGGAGATTTTTAGATATAGCCTTATATGCTAAGAGAGGGAGAGGATGGGAATATAGTAAGAGAGAAAAAGACAGAAAAGAAATAAAAATAGAGACAGACTGACCAAGAGAGTAGACAGACACACACACATACACACACACACAAGCGCAAGAAAGAAAGAACTTGCATATGTATTTTGCCTATGTAAATTTGCAGGCTATTATGTGTAAACTTCCACTAAACTTCAAAAATTTTGAGATACCCTACAGCTGTTAGGTGGGTGCAAAGAAGTAGAATATAGTAATTCCTTTGTACACATTAGCAGGAAGTCTGAACCCTCTAGATGGTCCTAGATTTGTCTGCTCTGCATCTTCATGTTCTCGGGGGGCTGCTTTTTCAGTTTTGCAGAAATAAGAGCGTTTTTAATACACAGAGGTCTCACATCAGGCAATAGAATGGGTGGGCCAGATGCTTTGTCCACGGTCGACACACAGGAGCAGCTCCCAGTAATCAGGACGGACTGACCTCCAAGCACAGTCTGGACGCAGCAGGCCCCTCCCAGTGTCCCTGCCGGCTCACACTGCAGTTCTGCGCTGCTGAGAGCCATGCTCCAGTCTGGCCACGCTACTCGTCTACAGAAGCCCTTGCCCCCAAGAAACCTCAGAACATGCGACTAGAAATCAACTCCATTCCCAAGACCCAGTTAGACTCATCCAACTTTGAAACCCCTTAAATTCTTTCAACTAAGCACCCATGGCTTCATCTGGATTAATGGCTCTGGAGTTCAACAATGGAAGTAAAACAAAAGGGTAGACGCTCCCTCCGGTGGCATGCCAGGAGCTGTCTCTGGCTTCCCATTAGTTTCCTCAGCTCTTCTTTCCAACTGCTCTTAACTTTGCAAACGAAGGAACCAAGCGCAGAGAGGCTACAGGACTCACATAGGCTTAGGCAGAATCCTAAAGCCGATCAAGACACTGCCTATTTAAGCGCATTTTTTGAAAAGAATAAAACAAATGACAAAGGAATCCCTTCTTGTTCTTAGTGTGCTGCACCATAAGCAAGAGTAGCGTAGTATGCAAGGTCCCTATTTGTTGCTCTGAACTTGAACTGGCATCCAAAGAAAGGGGAACGACTTTTAAAAATATCCTTATAAAAACAAGCACGAAGAAAAACAACACAAAACCAAAATGCCACCAGTGATGCAACAACCAATTCTTTTTTGCTTGATTTTTGTTTTGTTTTTTGATGCGGTTACTCGTTTATTAATTGTTCAAAGAACAGAGTCAGAATTTTTTTTTTTTTTTTTTTTTTTTTTTTTACTATATTTTATAAATATACTCTTGAAAGAGGACTTCCAGAACTGCTTCAGAAAGTGATTTTTTTTTTTTTTTTTTTTTTTTTTGTACCGGAGATTGAACTCGGGTCCTTGCGCTTGCAAGGCAGGCCACCGAACCGCTGAGCTAAATCCCTGGCCCCAAGATTCAGAATTTAACAGATGAACAATTGAGAAAATTGCTGCAAATCTTAGCTAATATAATTAAGCATAAAATTTAGCTTTGAACTTTCTGGGAACAAAGAAACAAGAGAAAACACAAATTCTATTTTAAGTAATTTTTGAAGATTACTTGGCTGCACAGGAATAAATAATGCAAGTGTCTCTGCTCATACCTTTTGTATATGAATTTTTCTTGTGAATTCAGTTAATGGTTTCATGTGTTTCTTTTCTAAATCATTAAAAACACCTCAGCCAAGAACATTCTCAGGGACCAGGTTGAAAATGAGAGATGGACAGGAGAAAGGGTTTCACAGGGAGGAGATGCTAGAGGTGTCAGCATGTAGTAGAGCACAGTGGTATTTTGGAGACAAAAGGAGCATTCTTTTTCCTTTGCCAAAGAGGACCTGAGGCAGGCTGATGCAGTCCCAGGCAGCAGCAGCCAGGAAGAAGTACCCCTCTGCTGAAGCTATGCTTGGAGCCTTCTACGCCCTCCTCCTGCCAGCCTCTCCTCCTGAAGCAGGAAATTCGCTAGTTGCTCAAGAAGAGCTGTCCAAACTCTTCCCCATTTTTCACTCTTTGCCCACATTTAATTGGTGTTTAACAGAAAAGAGATTCTCAGTCAAATAAATTTCAAAGACCATGTCCATAATGTGCCCCCCCCGCAGTCCTTGATGAGCATGAGCGGATTCTCATAGGGTTATGAGAAGACCTGACATTAGAAGTACATATCAACTGAACTTAATCTCATATTCTACAATTTTTTCAATCTATAGATTTTTACGCATGTTTAAAAATTTCATTCTCCCTTAAACAGTTTGTTGAATGGAAATATTGCTCAGTGCAAAACTGCTGGAATATCCCTTCCTTTGGCACTTGCAAAGGTTGTGAGACTATTCAGCTTAGCTGGCCCTTTACAAATCAGGCCTCTCCGTGGTGATTTTCTGTAGCCATTAAAGTTTATAATCTAAGAGAAGTGACTTCCTCTGGGGACCTGAAAGTCTCCCAGCCTCTGTAAAATGAGACAAAATTTATCTTAACTTTTCCCAAAGCACTATTGGAAAGGATATTTCTTTTGCCTGAGTATCATTCTATACTGCCTCCATTTTTATACAAAGGAAGATCAAAGAGGAGATATGAGTGCATTTCTATTGGCTTAATAGAGCAATATTTGGTTAAAAATAGCAATGAGGATTGTGTATAAGGTTTCTGCTTCTTTTATCTTGTAGCAAATGTATCTGCAGAGAAACTGTTGGAAAAGGCACACAAGATAGTGTGGCTTTTACATCTCATGACCCTGAT